ACTTTATTTATATTGGGATTTTAAAATAAATTGCACATTAACGGTGCCACGTTTTCTCCTCTACAAGAAGGCATAATCAGAATTTCTATATGACGGTTCGTATCTGGTCCTTAGCATCAACTTTATTACTTCTCAAGGACGCTATATTGCATTTGTGCACAGATGAATAGAGTTTTTAATTTTGATTAAAAAAATATATAATACGTCATACACTGACGTTGGCAAACCTTAGTTACTTCAAACAAAAAAGAAAAAATTAGGTTGGCCTTGGAATTATGAGATTTTTGTTTCACTCACCAAATTTATCCCACAATCGCTCTATTTTTCCTGACTTTATTTGGCATGGGATTTCAAGATAAATTGCATATTGCCATTGTTGCTTATTCTCGTCTACAAGATGGCATAGTCAAGTTTTCAATTCGACATTTCTGCTTTCGACTTCCATCATCAATTTTTCAGCCCTAAATTTGGTGATGTATTTCGTTGGTTGCCCATAAATTTGTTGTTGGATGAAAATTATAAGGAAATAAAAAGATATGGTGAAACCTGAATACGAAATGAAAATTTTATTGATGGTAATAACAATAATTACCATAAATAAGCAGAGGTCTTCACAGTCTTCCAAACTCTGTTGTTATGCAACCAAATGAAATCTGATAATTTCATGACCTATCTAGGAACTTCTGGAATAACTAAGGTTTTGCAATGTCAATGTATGACATATACATTTTTTAAATCAGAATAAAAATTCTATTTATGTGTAAGAATCCAATATGGCGTATATAAGAAAAAATTAAGTTGATGCTGGAGGACAAGAGACGAATCGTCATATTGAAATTCTAATTGTGCCGTCTTGTAGAGGAGAAAATGTTTCAGAGTTGATGTGCAATTTATTTTGAAATCCCACCATAAATAAAATCAGGAGAAGATTAAAACCATTTTGGGAAATTTCGTCTTTTACGTTTCTTTGCGGAAGTACTTTTAATTTCAAAACTTTCTAAGCGACATTTTGCTGATTATCTCAATACGCAACTTTGCCCCTATTTAAGCGACTTCGTATCCTTAAAGTTTCCGAGATCCCAATGGTGAGGGTCAAATTTAAAATACCTTGTATCGGGCAAATATTGTTTTCATCCCAGCAGAAACAGTCTCCAGAATTCGTTATTTTGTTTTTTTTTTCATCAGCTTTAGGTTGGACTTACAGAGCTAGGATATATAAATATTGTTTCTGCATACACTTCGAGGCTGGGCGACAAGGGAACAAAAACCCTACTATCTGAGTTTTATTAAAATATAATAATACTTTATACATTTCTCAAACATAATCACTTCAGACGTTTATTCAGAATTCTTACTATGTATTTACTTCTTTAACTTGTCACTCGATGTGTTATATTTCTTCGAATTTATGTTTATACTTTTTAGAGAGAGAGAATTGAATGGGAATTACTGAGTAAATCTACTTGACATTGTTGGGTGCTGTTATTTTTTCTAGATAGTGCCCCCCATGTTTTCGTCTCTAGAGGAAAGTTCGGACACATTCGGGCAGTTGGACGAAAAATCCTAGATCATTCTGGTTTACAATAAATGAACATACCACAACTTTTCCAAAATTGTCTACTTCATTCTGAAAAATTTTACATTCGAATAATGATTGTACTTGATTCCGAGTTGTGACAATTTACAGGCAAATTATCTGCTGACTAATTTGACAGTCATCAAACAGTGAGAAGTTTCTGTACGAACAGCGGATTACTTGTCGTTAATCGGTCTTACCTCGCTCAGTAAACTCGTAACGTTCTCATGTACGCAATCCATACAGTCAGCGACGTATCAGTAACAGCTAACTGCGTAAACTAGGTCACGACTTGTCGCCGACTATCAGTTTGCTGATTGTCAGCTGTATGAACAAACCAATTGATCCCAACCAATGTCCCATTAGTTCAGATTATAATGCATCATTCAGTGAGTTTAGAACAATAAACATTAATCGTTTCAAGAAGATTATATCAAAAATTAAATCAAATCAAAATAAGATTGAGATTTTGTCTAAAATTGTGCTTAATGAATGTTTTGGTATTATTGGAGCAAGAATATTAACCCTGATAAATTACTGTTTAAATTATGGCAAATTTCCAACAAAACTGAAGTATTCTACCATAACTCCTGTTTCTAAAGTTAAGAATTCTGAGTTGTACACCAATATGCGGCCAATAAATGTTCTGCCAGATGTTGAAAAAGTTTTTGAAGAAATTATTTACGAACAAATCGTCGAATTTATTGAGGGAAATAACATTTTAACCAAATTTCAAGCTGGATTCAGGAAGAAACACTCAAATGAAACGGCAACACAAATGGTTGTAGAGGACTGGAGGAGATGTATGGACAATAGGAAACATAGATACGTTTGAGACTATTGGCAGGGATAAATTACTTATAAGATTGCATCGCTACGGATTTAAAGGATCTGTATTCAAAATTCTACAAAACTATTTAATTAACAGAAGTCAAAAAACCAAAATTGGATCTACATTATCAAAATGAAAAAATATGTGAGTTGGTATACCATAAACTAGGTCCACTACTATTTATTTTATACATTAATGAGATTTGTAATATTTTAGATTATTGTAAACTTCAGATATTTGCAGATGATACATTAATATACATATCAGATGAAACTATAGACACTGCTTTAAAAATGCTAAATTCTGGCTTGGCAAAAATCGTTACTTGGTTAAATGTAAATAAACTAAAATTGAATACTTCCAAAACAAAATGTATGCTAATAGGGAAATACCTTAACAAAAATACTATCACAGTTGAGATCAATGGAGAAATAATTGAAAATGTTGAATCAGTTAAATATTTAGGTATATATATATACTGCTCATATATATATATATATATATATATATATATATAAAGAGAATATGATCATGCGGAGAAAAGTATATAACAACAAGTGGGAAAATATTGGGCAAAATCCGCAAAAAGGAGGAAAGGGGATCCGAGCAGAAAATAGGATAGGTAACCCGAGCGATACGTATTTCTGCTGGTTGGCTTCATCAGGCCCGAAATGAATGCACATATGAAACTACAAAAGCGGTACTTCATTTTTCTCTTGAAACACAAAAAAATAATCTTTTTGTTTCCTACATTATGTAAAAAACAAATAATAAAACAAAAATAACAACTTATTGTCTGTTACACCAATACTTTGACGGAAACCTAGTTTAATTTGAATATTTTCATTGCACAACTACTTTAACGCCACTTAAAATTTCCAAGAGATTAGTAATTATGGCATTTTAGACAATTTAGTTTGTACAAACAAATTGCTTTGAATATTCTACCTGAAATTGAGCCTGAATTTGAATTCCTCACTGATTTGTAAGTGCATACCAACGTAGTTTCGGTTACAGTTTCGTCATTTTTTGTACCGAAACCGAAACCCTGATTTTGGACCGAAATTGGCCGAAACCGAAACTTCGGTCGGACACTAATTACATTATAGCATGCCTTTCGTGACCTGATCGCGACATTTTTACAGTCATGACTTAAATGTGAAAAAAGCGTGTTAAGGAGATACTGCCATTCAGAGTATACCTATATCTCAGTTTTGAGTAACAGGATAAGAATCTGATATCAAAAGTTTTCCTGTTGCCCCATATTTTTGTTTGTTTGTTTTTTTTTTGTTTAAGATTTTACACATTTTTTTGAATCAATTTTCTGTAATTTTACATTCTTGTCTATTAAAATTACATCAATATGCATTTTGAGTATTCATAATTTTTTTTAATTTCACCTTAAACATTTCTGAATTAGAACACCGTTTAATATCATTATTCAATTTACGAGGTTTGTTCAAAAAGTATCCCAAATTTTCAATTTTCGCGGGCTACCTATGTTCGATTTTTGATCTTTTTGTCGCGTTATGTTGATACTCATGACCGTTACTAATTATAATACTAAAAATGGATCAAATAATTTGTATTAAATTTTGTGTAATCAACAACTTGAAGTGCGCGGACATATTCCAAATGTTGACTGTTGCGAAGCTACTTTGGACAAAAGCAACGTTTATCGTTGGTACAAAATGTTCTCAGATGTGAGCGACAAAAAGCGTTCGGGACGCCAGAGCATGTTAGCCACAGACGAAAACATTGATGAGTTCTTGCCGCAGGGTAGAACGGTCAATAAGGAATATTACCTTTAAGTAATGCGCATTTTGCGAGAAGCAATCCGCCAGAAACGGCCGGATTTGTGGAAGAACAAAAATTGGCTTTTGCACCATGATAACGCCCCTGCTCGTGGGTCCTTACTTGTGCGCGAATTTTTGGCCAAAAACAACACTCCAATAATGCCTCACCCACCGTATTACCCAGACCTTGCCCCCTGTGACTTTTTCTTGTTCCCGAAACTGAGGAGATAAAGACGCCATCGAAGGAGGAGCTGAACAAGATCACAAAAAATGATTTTTCAAAATGCTTCGAGGTCTGGAAAAAACGTTATCTCAAGTGTATAATGTCTGACGGGAATTACTTTGAAGGGGACAAAATATATATTCTTGAATAAATAAATAATTCTAGAAAAAACATAAAATTCGCCATACTTTATGAACAAACCTCGTATTAAATTCAAATACTCCCTTTTGAAATACAGATATGCCAGTTATGCTACAATTACAATTTTGCAGACGAAAATCTATATTTCCTCAAGTTTTGTAGTTATGATAATGTATCTCTTCTAACATAGACTTAATCTTAGCATATTTGTTTTTACTTAAAATTAATCTCATAGCTTCATTTGTAATTTTGAGAATATGTTTGCATGACCACTTAAGACATTTATTCTGAGGAGATTTTTTACTATTCCCATATGGTAGTTCATATAAACCATTCCAAATTATCATCATTAAAATCAAAGTAAATTTATCTACGACTACTTTCATCATCGCGTTTTCATCATTTCAAGTGAAAAGATCCAGGCAATCCTACCTTAATATCTTCAACAGGGCCTGACCCAAGACGTCTAGTTTTTTCACGTATCAAATGACACTTGATCATATCGTCAGGGTTTGCCACTTTTCCCGCATACATCTGACCTAATCTTATCGTGTTGAACATCTGACTTTCACTTACACACGTAACCTTCAACCTTATCAAAGGGTTTCTGGATACCGATTCATGATGCCCTGTAATATAAATACAGATATAAATCATTAAGAATTTCAGAATGGTCGCTTATTTTTGGAGTATGTAAAACCTTGACACTGAAATTCTGTTCATTGGTTATTATTAAATCTATCGTTCGTGAAAAGTTTGTAATCATTGTGTAGTCATTAATTTTTTGCCATAGACCATGAAAGTTTAGCACTTGTTTAAATTTTTTTTACATCAAAATCTTGATCATCAAAATATATCTTGGAAGTCACCCAAGTGCACAGTGGAGCAATTTCGATAATACTGTTAGTAAATTGGACTTTAAATTTTGATATGTTATATCTGTTACTGCTTTATTTGTATTATTTCGCTGCACCTTTTTATATATTATATATACACATTTGTCATCTGCAAAGTGGATTAAAAGATTATTATCTATGTATACTATAAACATTTTGTTACAAACTGGCGTGTGTGAGTACAGTATGTACACTAACATCAATAAAGTATTGTATTGTATCATATTAGACGAAGATACTCCCGGCTTGCGAAATGATTGTAAAGTCTGGTTTTATTGCTGCAAGTTGTTCAAGGGGGTATTCAAAACATGAACGCGTAAAATGGGTACACCAATTTTTATGGGAAAACTTTTTATTCGACAACAAGGAATGAGAAAACGTGTTTTTTGAGATTCAATCGAAAGTGTTGGCAGGAACGAAAAAACTCTTGATACAAGATTTTTAGGTATCTATGAGACCTACAAAATGAGACTACAAGAACCGACTAATAGCAAAAAAGTTATGGCCGAAAACCAAGGCAACCTACAGATATTGGCACTTGTTGGTAATGCGACGATGGTTTCTCGCAGATAATTGAAATTCTTCCCATTCATAGGATTCGTACTTCTAAATTACCACAACAAAATTGGAGTAGATTGGTCAAGTGGTTTTTGAGAATTTCTAATTGTTTATCCCAAAACACTTGTTTTCCGGCCATTACTACTAGTATATTGAGCAATATATATCAACCAAACACCAAAAAATAATAGCAATTAAAAAAATAGATTATTTTTATTATCTTCACTAAATTTATTTATTTTTTATTTGTTTTTTGAAATTAGATTAATTCCTACTTTAATTTTAGTTCAAAGGGAATTTTATAACTAAATACGCTAGTTTACCTTGCCGATATGAATCGCAAACCATTTTGGAAGATAAATGTTATTCTTATGCCAAAAAGGATGGGTTACGTTTTTTCTTCTAAACAAATTCAAACATCCCGTATTTGTGAGTAGTTCGCAGCAAAAGATGGTGACACATCCGCTTTGTTTTAAAATGTGTATAATGACGTATGGTTTTCGAATATCGTAGCGCATTTGTCAATTACTCACAAATACGATATGTTTGAATTTGTTTAGAAGAAAAAACATAACCTTTGCTTTTCGAATAAAAATAATATTTATCTTTTGGAATGGTTTGTGATTCATATCGGCAAGGTAAACACGTGTATTTTGCTATTAAATGCTCTTTGAACGAACCCTGTATATTGCTCAATAAACTAGTAATGATGGGCGGAAAACAGGTGTTTTGGGATAAACAAGTAAAAATTCTCAAAAAACTACTGGACCAATATACTCCAATTTTGTTGATCTTATTTAGAAGTATGAATCCTACGGATTTGAAGAATTTCAAGTGTTGCGTGAAATTATCGTCGCATTACCAACAAGTGCGAAAACCTGCATTTTGCCTCGTTTTTGGGCCATATATAATAAATACCTAAAAATCTTATATGATTTTTTTTCGTTCCTGTCAATACTTTCGATTGGATCTCAAAAAACACGTTTTCTCATTCTTTGTTGTCAGATAAAAAGTTTTCCCACAAAAATTGGTGTACCCATTTTATGCGTCCATGTTTTAAATACCCTCTTGAACAACTTGCACCAATAGAACCAGACTTTACAATTATTTCGGGGAAATTTGCTGATATGATTAGACTACATCCTATAATATATTATTTGGCTTTTACTTGATGTGCTGTGATATTACTTGAGCTTGATTATCTTTATTTATTTATTCAGTAATATCTAACAGCCAAAGCCAATTACAAGTTGGACAAATATGAAAATAAAAGATATCAAAGCATATAAGTGGAGCATGTGTTACAGAGAAAGCTAGAATGCTGAAAAAAAACTCAAAACGGAGCCCTGAGGAAAAAAGTATTCTAGCTTTACCCGCCCAGCACTCAACAATCAAACTGAGACGATTTATGCAAGTGTTAACGAAAATAATATACGCCGCAACCCGCATACCGTGAGAACATATATACCCGCAACCGCATACAGTGACACCACGTGTCTATGCAGCAAACGCATATAGTCAGAAACCGCATATACGCAGCAACCTTGCAGCAATCGCATAGCGTCAGAACCGCTCCCACACATCTTCACGCTCCTGCATCACCGCTACGCCAGGAATACGTACCAGAATTAGACAGAATACCGGATCAAAGGTAGGCGACAACCACATTTCATTCTTGAACCAGCCGCTATACAGTCCACTCGAATACTCTAACATATTTTTGGTTTGCCGGAAACCAAACTCTTACGACAATATTTAACTGGACTACTATGCGAATTTAGTTTTCTGGACGTGTTGATAATTAGCTTTAATTCAGAGTGCGTCCGGGGTAAAGCTTGTCTCACCGCCTGAATATTTAAACTACGAACGCATGACGTCTTTGAATGTCACACTTATCAAATCCAAGAAATCACACAAATAAATTTGAGGGTAAACAGAAAATGATATTAAGAATGACTCTCTGAGAAATATCTACAAACGAGAAAATTATTTTGACTAGATCCCTCCTAAGAAGACTCATATCAGGAGACAACCACCTTGAAAATTTTTAGCACAAGAGGCTGGTAGTTCATCGAAGCAGTTCTTTGCCAATAATGTTGGAATATTAACGATAAATGTGAAAGTATCGCGGCACTGGGTGAAAGTTAGTGTAAAATATGCGTTGGAAGTTTCCCTGTGATTCAGACTAAGGAAAACTGTAACCCTAGAAATTATAGAATGAAGTGACCGCTGTATGACATTGAACAACGTTAACAAAGAATGTCAGCATTTTGAGTCGACTATTTGGTTTGGTTAATTTTTAGAACAGCTTTTCACGTCGGTGTAAAGAAAATATCCGACATAAGTCAGAACCTGTCTACTTAAGTAAACGACTATCATGTCGGTGCATACGACCAATATCTTGTGATTTTTTTGCCAGATAGCCAGTCGCATGTTCTTTCATATATTACCGCTTCAGTAGCAATTGGGGGATCACAGGTCATAACTATTGCTTTCCCTGCACTGTGCATATTTTTAGGATCAAATGTAAAAGCAAAAACTAAACACCCGAGTACCGCGACTTTGGCTACTGTCTGAATAATTCGAAATTTTCTTCACAAACTAAAACTAGTTTTTTGTATTTTTGATATAATATATTACTTAAAACACAAAACCTAACCTATTTTTTCTGTAACACGTAAATGACATTACCAAAGATAAGAAATATATTTGTCTTTGATGACAGTGCTACCATCTTTTTAAAAGATTTAAAACTGCTTCGCGAGACTTTACTGACAAACCAAACTAACTGCATTTAAATCTATCTCTCTGAATTTAGTGTACACCACTAACAGAAGGATACGACTTCTTGTGGCTATATATGGGCACGCAGTTTCTCGTGAATATCATGTGTGTATCCGTTTTGGCACACACAGTAGCCAACGTGTTAAAGTTAAAAAAGACTAGTTACCAGTTCCTTCACCATCGTTGAATGAGTGCAGTGTTGAGCTGAAAGCTTATCTTTTGTATCTAATGAAAATGTACTTTTAATTATGAGAATTTATTTGTGTTTTTATATAGAAAAGATAACATAGCGGCATCTTTCTCAAAACATGGAGGTGATATTTGCGATATCTTTCAGTAGGTAACATGCATTTTCATTTTGATTGTGTAAAAACGTAAATGATTGAAAAGATGGAGCACTGAAAATTAAGTGCAAGTATATCGATGATATCAAAAAATTAAAATTGGAAATAGAAGGAAGTGTTGGACAGACATAAAGTAAATGTAAGCCATAAAAAAATACCAATGATTAAAGTTGTGGGTTTCAGTGAAGACTTAAACAATGATGAATTGGTTACAGACTTAAAAGTGATAAACAACATTATAAATAGTGATATTTCGATTAGAGTAGTGGCAATCAAAAAAAATGAAATTTCGGTATATGGCAATTTTGGAATTGGATAGATTGTATCCATGGATGTTTGTACAATTTTTGACCATTACGATCTTGTGAGGTGTTTTAACTGTGGCGGATTTCACCACACAGAAAAATTGCACCAAGACCAGTATTTGTTTAAAATGTGGTAATAGTGATCATCAGGCCCAGCACTATGCGATATCAAATGATGAAATAACATGTCCAAACTGCACAGAATTAAATTTGAAGCACAATACAAATTTCGATATAAATCACTCATCTTTCCACTATACCTGCAACATGGTCCAAATTGAATATGAAAAATCAAAAAATAAAATTTCTTATGGTGTCAAATAGCAATTACAGGCTAAAAAATATTCTACCATATACATATTCAAGGATTTTTATCGCACAGGGATGAAGTTATAATTTTTTTAATATCAGTGAAACCATTAGTTCTTTGCTTGTCTGAAACACATATTACGGAAGATATTGAAGATAAAGTAAACACAGTTTCAAACATACAGCATACTAATATACAAACAGAGTATGATTGAAGTGAGAACACATAACATTGTAGTTGTTGATTATCAATGGTGGTATATTAATTTTGAAATTAAGATAAAACAAAATTACAATGTACACGTTTACTACAGGTCTGCAAGCTGTAATATAAGCCGATTTTTGGACTTTTTTGAGAGTATTTGTGAAAAACAGAATTATCGAAATTGCTCCACTGTGCATTTGACTTCAACATATATATTTTGATGTAAAA